TCGAGGCGGTAGAAGGGCAGCAGCATAGGCTTCACAGCTAAAAGTCACCTGTGAAAAACAATCCAATCAGCAAACGTGGCTTGAAGCTCCTGAGAGGGAAACTGTCCAGCAGCAACAGTTCAGATGTTGGCTTGCGTGCTTCAACTCAGCAAAAGGCAAGCCCAAATTGGAGACTTCAAAAGGCTCCCAGCTATCTCAACTCACAGTTGCAGCTAGCTCCGTGGGAGTATCTTTACACAGCTGTTCGGCTCCTTTTCTGCTGCTATTTCTGCTGCAGCCATCAGGACTCCTTATCTGAGTTCTCTTCCCTTCTGCAGCTCTGCTCTGGGCTCTGCGTCCAGGTGCTTCAGCACTGGCTCTGCATCTAGGCCTAAACAGCGTCTAGGCCCAAATAGCAAGCAGAAAGGTCCGTGCTTATATGGGGAGTTAACCTGCAATTAACTAGGGCGGGAAGGCTTGCAGTTAATTGCAAACAGGAGATGGCTTGATTGGATCCATACTGTTCGTAACTGATCAAGTAGCTACAGCAATTCTGAAAACACTCGTGACAAAGGTGAACACTAAAAAAAGGTACAAGATAAGAATGCCCCTTGTCTCCTCTAATATTCATATTGACACTGGAAGTATTAAACAGAAATATTAGACAAGACAGAGATAAAAAGTATGGAAATAAAAAAGGAAAAATATAAACTACAGGCATTCACAGATTATTTAGTTTTCATTTTAGAAGATCCACAAGAAACAGGGCCTAAATTATTTTTTTTTAAAAAGAGAGGTGTAGGAAGTTAGCACCCACCCCTCTCCTGGAAGAGTGAAATATTTTAGGAAATACGAAAAAGGCAGAATATTATATTTCCCTGGATGAGAAATATGAGAAGCATATTTTACAGACAAAGCAGCTCCCACCTTCCTGCCCCCCACCCTTTGTCAATGGGCCATTAAGGCCTGGGCCAGTCTACTCTACATAACAAAGATCTACCTCCTTCAGGCAGAGCCATAGTATAGGATAGGATGATAGGGTTAGGGTTAGCCTTAATCCTTAGATAGGATTAGCCCTCTACACAATAGCAGCAGAAACTCACCACATGTGACCTGGGAAGCACATGTGACCATCACAGCAAGGCCCCCACCCCCTGGGAGTCTGACAACCAATCAGGGTACTCTTTCTGGGCCCCAAGAAATGCAGAGCCAGAGAGAGCATAAAAACCCGAGGATTTTCTGTATCTGCCCCTTTTCTGTTCAGGAACTCAAGCCATGTGATCCTGTCCACCATTAAACCATCTTTCCAAGCAGTCTCCATGTTTCCAGTGTCTGTTTCCCCACTTGGAGCAGAACCCAGAAGGATGTTTCTTCCAACAATTGGCGACCCAGCGGGACTCCAAGCTAACCTAACCAATGGACCAGGCCCAGGTAAGCCTCCCTTGCTAGCAGCAGACCCATTGAGTCTGTGGGCATGTTTTCATGGACCTTGGCCATTTGGAACTAGGTTTTAAAGGGGTGTAGGAAGTTAGCACCCACCCCTCTCCTGGAAGAGTGAAATATTTTAGGGAATATGAAAAAGGCAGAATATTATATTTCCCTGGGATAAGCATGTTTTGAAGCAGCTCCCATCTTCCTGCCCCCCCCACCCTTTGTCAATGGGCCATTAAGGCTTGGGCCAGTCTATTCTACATAACAAAGATCTACCTCCTTCAGGCAGAGCCATAGTAGGAATTGCGAAAGATAGGATTAGCCCTCTACACAATAGCAACAGAAACTAACACAATGGGACCCATCTAGACGAGGCTCACCACATGGCACCTGGGAAGATTGCATCAGCCAGCAAGACCCCCACCCCCTGGGAGTCTGACAACCAATCAGGATACTCTTTTGTGGCCCCAAGAAATGCAGAGCCAGAGAGAGCATAAAAACCCGAGGATTTACTGTATCTGCCCTTTTTTCTGTTCAGGAACTCAAGCCATGTGATCCTGTCCACCATTAAACCATCTTTCCAAGCAGTCTCCATGTTTCCAGTGTCTGTTTCCCCACTTGGAGCAGAACCCAGAAGGATGTTTCTTCCAACAGAGGAATATGGCTAAGTGACAGGATTGAAAATAAATAAAGAGAAAACGAAGACATTAGTTAAAAACCTTACAGACATGGGGTTAGACTATTTTTCAAAGCACCAGAAGAAGCAAAGGATACAAACTAAAAAAGTCATGTCCGACCAATTGCGACCCCATGAATAACGTTCCTCCAGGCCTTCCTGTCCTCTACCATCCTCTGGAGTCCTTTTAAGCTCATGCCTACTGCTTCAGTGATTCCACCCAGCCACCTCATTCTCTGTCGTCCCCTTCTTCTTTTGCCCTCAATCTTTCCCAGCATTAGGCTCTTCTCCAGTGAGTCCTTCCTTCTTATTAGGTGGCCAAAATATTTGAGTTTCATCTTCAGGATCTGGCCTTCTAAAGAGCAGTCAGGGTTGATCTCCTCTAGGACTGACCGGTTTGATCACCTTGCAGTCCAAGGGACTCACAGGAGTCTTCTCCAGCACCATAATTCAAAGGCCTCAATTCTTTGGCGCTCAGCCTTTCTTATGGTCCAACTTTCACAGCCATACGTTGCAACCGGGAACACCATAGCCTTGACTATACACACTTTTATTGGCAGGGTGATGTCTCTGCTTTTATTTAACTAAAAATAGAAGTAACCTAAAATGAAAGAGAAATTTCCTGACAGTCAGAAAAATCAACCAGTGCCCATGCCTTCAGAATTTGTAGGCTTTCCTTTACTGGAGGCTTTTAAGAAGAGACTGGCCAGTTAGTTGTCTAAAATGATAAAGGGTCTCCTGCTTGAGCAGGGGTTTGGACTTGACAACCTCCAAGGTCCCTTCCAACTCTGTTATTCTATTCTGATCACCTGATGCAGCCCTTGACAACTAATAATGCAGCCCTATAATATAATAATGTGGGAAGTGTACCCTAGGGGGACAGTGCCAGAGACCTCATAGCACCAGAAACCTCAGAAAACAGTGCAAAGAGACTCAAGCCAGCCTTCCCCCCTTTAAGAAAACCAAGAAGCACCAGCTGAAAAAAAAACCCAGAGAGCAGCCCTGCTAACAGAGCTGACAATAGAAATATTTAAGTAGAGCCATTAAGATAAGGGGAATCAGGCTAAAAATAACTCACATGGAATTCCCCTTTTCCTCTTTCCTGGCAGAAATAACCCCAAGGATAGGAAAGACAAACCCCAGGAACAGGATTAACCCATTAAGGCAGGAAGACAGGATCCAGGGCAATCACTTTAACTAGAAGCACACAAATAAACCCATCAAGCTGCAGGAGCTTCAAAGGGGAATTAAGAATAAAAGGCTCAGAGCCACACTTCCAAGTTGGCTTGCAACCCAGGAACGTTTGAGCTGTGTCACACCTTTTTTTTTTTTTTTGCCTTCCTTCATTAAAGAATCCTACTTTCTGGCAGCTGCTTCGGAATTCATTTCTTTTCAGGGTCCGTGGTTTTTCCCAGCTGGGAACAAACTCAGGAAATTTCTTCCAACAATAATAAATATGAAAAAACCACTGACCCTTCCTGCAAAGGAAGTTTATGTACATTAACTATATTATGGTATATAGTTATATTGTATATATTTTATATACAACCCTAATGTGGTAAAGTAATAAAGTAATAAATAAAAGCGGGTCCAGCTAGATGATCACTGAAGGGCCCTCTTTGTTCTTAATATTGTAAAAGAAAAAATGCTTGTAATTGTATCCAGCACGTAGGCAGACACATTCCTTTCAAGAAGGAGTTCTACTTCAAGGCCTCTCAGTTGTCACAGATAAGGACAGTTTGGTGATTTTTAAGGTCAGAGAAAGGAGATGTCCATATTATTGTTTCAACAAGAAGATAATTTGAATCTATGCTTCAGTAACTTCTAAGAAGAATTATAACTGTTTTGCAAAGATAGTAACAAGCTCAATAATTAAGGTATGTCATTTTGTGTAACAAATGTCTTATGATATTAAGAAATTGCTGACTTCACAGAATCCTTTTGTTGGAAGAAACATCCTTCTAGGTTCTGCTCCAAGCGGGGAAACAGACACTGGAAACATGGAGACTGTTTGGAAAGATGGTTTAATGGTGGACAGGATCACATGGCTTGAGTTCCTGAACAGAAAAGGGGCAGATACAGTAAATCCTCGGGTTTTTATGCTCTCCCTAGCTCTGCATTTCTTGGAGCCCCAAGAGTATCCTGATTGGTTGTCAGACTCCCAGGGGGTGGGGGCCTTGCTGGCTGATGGTCACATGTGCTTCCCAGGTCACATGTGGTGAGTTTCTGCTGCTATTGTGTAGAGGGCTAATCCTATCTAAGGATTAAGGCTAACCCTAACCCTATCATCCTATCCTATACTATGGCTCTGCCTGAAGGAGGTAGATCTTTGTTATGTAGAGTAGACTGGCCCAGGCCTTAATGGCCCATTGACAAAGGGTGGGGGGCAGGAAGGTGGGAGCTGCTTTGTCTGTAAAATATGCTTCTCATATTTCTCATCCAGGGAAATATAATATTCTGCCTTTTTCATATTTCCTAAAATATTTCACTCTTCCAGGAGAGGGGTGGGTGCTAACTTCCTACACTTTGTTTGAAACTGTATAAATGCTTTGAGCTGAAAATCATAGGTCAGACCTCCTTTCTTTATGGTAGCGATACCAAGGTCTGATCCTTTATTGCAATAAATAAATAAACTTATTCTGTCTGCCCTAAAGGGATGTTTCTTTAATTCCTTATTCCACAACAACCCAAGGCAATTTTTCACTCAATGAAGCCAAAATGTCGGACGGCTGAGATCCATACTTCGCAGGCTCAAATCTCGGCGCTTGTTTGGAGAAGCCAGCGGAAAAATTCTAGGGCAGGGACCGTCGCGGGAGGCGGACCTCTACATAGCGCTGCCCGGGGCGCGTAAGCAGGAGCGCTTCCCGGTGCAACCCCCTCCCCGCCCTTTCGAATGCGCTCGGCTTCCTTCCAGACGAGAGGCGTCCCTCAGGGAGAGGCGAAGGGCCGGCCGAATTGGGCCGTCCACAGCTGCGGACGGACAGCCCTGAGATCTCCTTCGACTTCCACAGGCCCCAAGGAACGCGCTCTCCAGGGCCCTCCCACCGCTCCAACTGGAGGCTACCGTCCCCACCTTCTCCAGCCGACGCCATGTTGCAAGTAGCGCCGCCTCTCTTTGCGCGCAGCCGCAGCAAGGCAGAATCTGTCCGACCCTGCCCAGGCTGAATGCATCTGCTTCCCAAGCGGTATCCCAGAGACAGCCGCGGCGGCGGGTGTAAGTGAGCGAGGGCGCCGAATAGAAGGAAGGGCTACCACTTGGCCGGCCGCTGCTAGCCCTTCATGTAGGTCCGGTGCGTCTTCTAAACCAGCCGGCTTCGCGCTCTGGCGCGGCGGCAGAAGGTGGGTGCTTAGCACTTGCGGGGATGGGGCGTCTCGCAGGCGCGACCGGTTTGCGGGCCGATGGGAACCCCCGGCGGCTGCAGTTCCACCGCCTGCACGCCCTCCGATTGCCGCCACCAGCTTCGGAAGAGGTCTGAACGTATCCATTCATGGGCAGGCCGAGGCCACCCAAAACGAATTCGGAATAATCCGAGTTAACATCTGGTCTGGCTAAGGTGACGCGTTTTCCAAAGCTGAATAACCAACATCGCGCTGCCTTCCGACAAGATACCCAGGATTTTTCTGTTTCTCGGTTCGCCTTGTAAAATGAATAGCAAAGTGAGCAAAGAGTGTGTACACCGCCCTGAGCTGTAAAATCCAACCAAGTAAATGCTAAGCGAAGTGGGAATACAGCTCCCAGGATTTGCCCTGACCCGGTTAAGTACTTTGTATGTACTCTTGTGATGCTAAACTTCCAAGTCAGAATCGAACTGATTCATTTTAAACTCCCCAATTAGCAGTGGCCCAGTTTATGGTGTATATAATTACAGTATTTTGAAACTGCATATTAAAATGCACCATAAATACAATATACAATAAAAGTATTATATTAAATACAATATATACTAAAACAACCTGAACTTTAACCTAGAATTATTACTCAATGCAGCAAAATAGGGGAAATCCATATTCTTGCTGCAGTGCAATAGTTGTTATTTAATTGTTGACAAGAGGACACATCCCTGTGCCATCATCTGTATCTCTTCACCCACTTGCAGCAGTGGAGGAGGTCCCAGGTGGATTTTAGGTGTTCTACCCTAGAAGTGGTGTTTTCCCTCTTATCCCATCGCCATGCAGACAATGGAATGTGTATGTATGTGTATGTGTATGTGACATGTTAGTGCAACTCGTTAAAGTAGCTGTTCTTTCCAGGGTTGCATAGCTATTGTGCAGAACTTCCACTCCTGAAAACGGACACAGCTGCTTTAAGGAGACACATGCTAATGTCTCAGCCCTGAATATCCTGAAATATCCTAACCCTAACCCTGAAATATCTCTTATAAAAGAAATCAGAAGCATTGATTTATGAATTACAAATCACAATGACTGAGTTTCTACTAGAGACTAATCTTAAATGTCTCACCCCACTGGGATTGGCCTGTACCATTCCTGCCAGCAGAGGAGGCATGCTGCGGGTCCCATCAGCCTGATTATTCTGGCTGGCGGGGTCCAGGAGGAGGGCTTTCTGTGCTGTTGCTCCTGCTTCTGGAACATCTCCCCCCCATGTGAGTTTGCCCCCACCCCTCCTATCTTTTAGTAAGGTCCTCTTGGGACAGTTGGCTTGGGACCCCAAGTGGGGGAATAGCGCAATGGAGGTGGTTGATACAGTAATAATAGATCCCATCTTCCTCCCACTCCACCCCATGTGTCCTTGATTTTAATGTCTGATTTTAACTTTTCATGTTTTAACTGTATTTGTAACTATAAGCCACCCAGAGTTATTCTATGGTAAGATGGATGGTCAATAATTTTTTTAATCAATCAATTAATCAATTCAATCAATCTAAGAAATCAACTTCTGAATTAAGAATAAATCATGATCTAACCACACATTGTGTGAATGAGAAACAATGATATATTCTAGTTGCTGGTTTAGCACTATCTTCAAATGTGGGTGCAGTGCCCAGGTTCTACTCCTAAAAGCAGACAGGGCCAAGGAAAAAATAAAATATCATATTGCAATTAAATAATTAAATTAATTTGAAATGAAAATTAATATATCATAAATTTGGAGGTTTACCCTGCCCACATAAGAGGACAGTTTTGTTGGGGTTTGAGGCTCAGACACTCTCTGTTTTATAAGATTAATATTTTGAGATAGATGTTTTTAGAAGCAAAGTGGAGACGGCACCTTACAGATGTGCATCTTCCTTTTTCATCTTACTGTTCTATGACACAGCACATAAAATAGGACTTCACATGGACGCTTACAGTTGAGCTGTCTTATTCTGATATGTATTGGGAATGGTACTCCTTCAATAATACATTTTTCCTTGGTTAAAGTTCTATTTTCTTTAAGTCACAATTTCACTTGGATAGTTTGATTAAAGATACATTTCTAATGGCACAAGAAGATACATTGTTTACTCTTCAGATTCTTTGTGGTGCAGGAACTTCTGCTCCATGTAACATGTAAATAGCTGAAGTCTTAAGATCCGCTTTATTCCTTCATGGGCAAATGGTGACCCATGCCTTTGCCCAATTTTGGTTGTGTTATAATTTTGAGCCAAATGAAGGCAAATGCATCTTGCAATACTGTAGTGGCTTTAAAACATCTTCAGTATGAACCTAGACCTTAAACACTGAAAGAGTCATTTGGATTGGTTTCCCACAGAAAAGAAAACACCGGCAGCCACAAAACCTTGGTGGGCATGGCCAACTTGATGTCACTCACTCCCACCCAGTCACATGACACCCCCCCTCAGCTACGCATAGCCAGGTTTTGTGGCTTTTTTTTTCTGTGGAAAACAGGTATGTCTCTCTCTGTGTGTGTGTCTCTCTCTCTCTGTCTCTGTCACTTTCTCCCTCTCTCTTTCTCCCTCTCCCTCTCTCATCTCTGTCTCTGTCTCTGTCTTTTACCATATGATTTAAATCAAGAGTCATTTCAGGTTCCCAGATAAATGAAGCTCTTTCATCTCCCTGCTGTGGCTCCCTGTGGCTGAACCCACCACTGGCTGGCCCCGCCCCTCACCCTTCCCTCCCAGTCACTCCTCACCTGGCCTGAGAAGGAAAGGGCGACAGCAGGGGATGGAGACTTGCTCTGTATTCCAGAGCAGGAGCGAACCACCTTTGTACTTGCCTTCTCTTGTGGCGCTTCTTCTGGTCCTTGTTGGTGCTGCATGCACCTTGGTCACTTGGGGAGACATGCAACTTGCTCTCCGCCCCAAGACACTGGTTCGGCCCGGCTGCAGCCAATGCTCCATGTCATAATGGGCTCCGGGGAGAGGAGGGGACGTTATCTCCCCCATTGTGAAGTGTGCTAAATTTAACTGCTGTGCAAGGCGCTGCAAGAGCAGCAGGCAGGCTAAATTAAATTTGCACTCTTGCAATGCCTCGTGCATCAGTTAAATTTAGTGCACTTCACAATGCGGGAGACTGCATCCCCGCTTACGCTGTGGAGTGTGAGCCGCAGCTGAGCCGGGCCAGTGTCTCGGGGTGGAGAGCAAGTCGCATGTCTCCCCGAGTGACCGAGGTATGTGCAACACCAACAAGGGCTAGAAGAAGTGCCTGCGAGAGAAGGCAAGTACAGGGGTGCTTCGCTCCCACTCTGGAATATGGAGCGAGTCTCCATCCCCCACCATTGCCCTTACCTTCTCAGGCCAGGCGAGGAGTGACTGGGAGGGGAGGGCGAGGGGCGAGACCAGCCAGTGGTGGGTTCAGCTGACAGGAAGCCACAGCAGGGGTATGAAAGAGCCACATGCAGCTCCGGGTTGCCAACACCCGACCTAGACTGTGGCTATGTGCTCTCCATTGGGATGTCTTTGGAGACCCTCCAGAAACCTCCATCAGTTCAGAATGCAGCACCTGGCTATTAACTCTTGGTTGTTGGAACCCAATAGGCTTTCCATGAACTTCTAGATGCAATGAAGACATATGTGGCTTGGCAGGCCCAAGACTGCTTCCCCTATTGAGAATTGGTCTATCCAGCCCAAGAGGTGCTAATGAATCCCAATGCCTGTTCAGTGTGCTTTCTTTCTTTATTTGTGTCAGAATCATCATTAGTAAGATTTTATGCATGGGTATAAGTACAAACATAAGAACATGAAATTTAAAATATATAAAAGCCTAATTTAAATGGTTCTTGTCCAGAAGCATGCAACATTGATTGCAGTCACAGATTGAAATCTGTGCTTCAGAGGCTCTTGGTTTTGGTGGTAACAACATTCTAGATTCACCTACTGGAAGAAATCCATAGCTTTGAGAGGATTTATGATGTGGAATAAGATACTCAAGATTGTTTGATGCATTTTATGTTTATCTTTTTATGGTTTTATGGTTTTTTCTAGATTTTAGTCTTACTGTGGGTATTTTAATTTTAATTTTGAATACCGTTCAAAATCGGGTATTATCAGTTATTATAAATCAGCATTAGTCACTGATGGTGACCAATATATGTGGGATCTGGTATGTCCTCAGGCTTTGTTCATAAAAGTCAAGAGGGTGACTGCAGCAGTGCAGCTGTTGTGTGTGGTGTCATATATACAACAGACCATAAACTCAGATGGATCTTTAATTGCAGTGTCACAGTCACAATCTTAACTTTTTTGACCATGCCTTGCAGAAAATCATATATGGGAAAAATAAAGCAAGCAAAGGCTTCACATGAGATACGTGAAGAACGTGTGGAAAAACAGATAAGTCCTTTGTATTATTGATATGTCTGAGAAAGTGTTTGGAATGTCTGCAGAAACAAGCTGCATTTCACACACATTCTCAGAAATGTTAAATTTTGCTTCCTAATGGGACTCTTTAAAAAATCTTAATGATCGCCTTCTTGTCATTCTGTCTTCCAGGGTCTAGAAAGCAGAAAAAGCTGTGGAAGACTGACCCTTCCTCAGAATGAGCAGTACTTTGTCACCCTGCAGTAAGTGCATCTATCAGCTGGGCTGGCACATTGGTTGACATCCAAGAATGGATTTGTCAAAATCAATAAAACAGAACACTGCAAACTGAGTACATACTGTGAAGTTTACTTTGTGGCTTAAATAAGGGAACATTGGCTAATAGAAGAAACTTGAGCATTTTCTTGCATTTTCTCAATAGACAATATATTTTTAATTTTTTGTCCTTTGATATACTGAAAAGTATATCAAAAGTATACTTAAATAAGTATACCTCAGAAATGAAGGCAGGGGTCAATTCATAAATTATCAGATTAGTGGGGGAAATGGTGTCAGTGTTGCCCAAATTTATATGCATAGAAAATGGTGCCATGATGCCTTAACGGTGAATGGATTTTTGTCTGCTGAATCTAAAGTCTGCCATGTTGAGGTCTAGAAATGTGAGGATTTAATTAGTTTTTACTGTCAGCGTTCCAAGTAATGCACCAATAGAAAGTAGAACTCCGAGACAGATAGATTCCTCAAACAACAATTTATTGGATACATCATATTGGCACAACTGGTGAAAATTGACTCTGAAAATTCCCACGTTTTTCATTCAGTTAAAAGTTCCCTCCTTCCCCCAAGTCATTGTCACATTGTCCAATAGAGGGGCTGGCCGGTTGTTTGGTTATTCTACTCCTCCTCCTTCCAGCCACCTGTTGAAACCTCCTTGTTTCCCACAGGAAAACTTTCTGTTTTGGCTACAAACCCTTCAGCTATCTATTTTCCTCCCCCCTCCTATCCAGTGGCAACCCTGAAGCTGTAAATATGGCCTCAGCCAGGTTTGCTTCAGGGTTGACAGTCGGATCTTCCCTCTTAATTTGTGAGAAGATCCTGAAAAAGTAAAGAAAACCAAATATTCCGTCGCTGCCAGACGGTCCTTTGAGACCGCCAGCCCCATCGCCCGTAAAGAGCCGCCTTTACAGCTGAAAGGCGGCTCGAAAAACTCCGTTTCCGTAAGGAAACGTGAGACAGAGCCGGCGAGGGCAGGTAGAGCCCTCTGCGAAGTCCCCAGAGTTCTTTTTTACCTCTGGGAAGGAAGCAGGATGAGGCTCCCTATTTTCCTCGCCGCTGCTCCGGGCTTCGGGAGAACTCTGCGCTTTGCAGAGCCAGGCGACGGGACCAGACCAACTAAAGAAAACTTACAGACTTTCTGAATAAGTAGGATGAAATCCGGATCTGGGACCCTAAACTGCAAGTACTTCTAACAACCCTAAAACTGACTTTAAAAGTAAAGAAGAGTGGAAGGGGGGGAAAAAGAAAGTTTAAAATGGCGACTGGCTGAGGCTTGAGAAGAGCTGAAAGTGAAAGTCCTTCCGTTTGACTAGTTTAATATGTTACAAAGTAACTGAGATAACAGCACTGGCTAGAAGTGAAGAGAAAAATTCTTATTTCATGCTTCTTCCTTCTCAGAGACTTGATATTTGTTTGGAGAGAAGTTTTTTTCTTTAAAGGGGAAAAAAAGGAGAAAAAAATCTGCTTGTGTGGCAGGATGGCGTTAAAACTCACAAAGCCAGACAACCAAGCTGTGGGGGGGGGGCTCCCCCATTTATAAACCACATGAACAAGTTTTGAGTTTGCAGATGCAGAGGAATGGCTTTAAAGATCTAACACAATTTGTATTGGAGGAGATGGCAAGACATGATGAGATTGTGAACCAGAACCTTGAAAAATTTAGACAGGAAATTAAAGAGTTGGTTCAACAAAAGTATGATAAATTCAAGCAACATATGATAACTTTCTTAGAAGCAATGATAAAGATGGATGAAAAGTTTAATTCAGAAATAGAGTCTAATATGAAGGAAGTTGATGATAAGATTCATAATTTGGATAATATAATACAAAGAATTGAAAATAATTTAACAATGATTCAAGAAAATAGCTCAGAAGTAGAGTCAAAAATAAAGGAAGCTGACTATAAGACTTACAACGCAGATAATATAAAACAAAGGATTGAAAATGAAGTTATAATGATGCAATTCAGATTTATGGAATTTGCGGTCAGAATTAGGGGAATACAGGAAGATAAAAGAGAAGATTTGAGAAAGATGTCTGCTGAAGTTCTGGCTGGGATTTTAAAGGTTAGTCCTGAAGAGGTATCCTGTAAGATTGATAAGGCCTACAGAGCAAATTCTTGGGTGTCAAAGCAAAGGCAGTTGCCTAGAGATGTGGTGATTTACTTTACCGATAAAGGAATAAGAAATGATATTGTACAAAAGTCTTTTAACTCCACTCTTGAAATGTATGGAAGGAAGATCTGGATATTTAAAGAGCTGCCGCCCAAGATAGAAAGATAGAAAAGATAGAAAGGATTTTGGTTTTTTGGTGACTGAGCTAAAGAAACAAAACATCCCATTTAGGTGGGATGCTCCAGTTGGAATAATATTGAGATATCAAGGAGAAAGATATCAACTAAATACTGTTGAAAAAGCGGAAGAATTTTATTATAAGGTTCTTAAAATGGATTCAACATCTCCATGTATAATACATGAGGGGAATAAAGAAAAGCAAAATCAACAAGAGATTGAAACCCAGGCTAAGCAGATGGAGGTGGAGGTAATGGAAAAACAACAAGTTACAGAGGCTTTTGTGGACGAGCCGCTTATGGATTCTCCTTCAGAGGTTATAGTTGGATTACCTATAAATACAAGAGAGGCGGCTTTGGATTCTAATGTGATGACTTATCAAGTTACAGACCAGCATGGAAATCAATCAGTTGATATACAACTCCTAGAAAGGCAACCAGGATGGAGATCTAAGCCACAAAAAGTTAAGAAAAGAAGAAGCAGGTCCTACAAAAATAAAAAAAAAATAGACTAAATAAGAGTGTAATGCCAGTTACTTAAGAGATGATTAAAAACATGAAAATATAGCTGAGGCAAAGTATTGGTTTTTACTATTTTGAGGAGAGTGACAGATCTCTGCAGTGCTGTGCTTTTGGGATGTGGAAGATGGCCTTTAATTGAGTGGATTGGAACTTTCTATTTTGGACTCTTTGACAAATGGATTATGTTTATGCTGAGCTATAAGGCAAGAGAACTATGGGACTAGGGCATGCAGAAGATCTGGTTGTTACCCTAATACGGTGGTTGGAATTAATAATCTAGATGGAAGACATTACAGAAGACACTATGTGGAATATAAATATAAAGTCACTCGGGTGGTTTTTTATATACGAAAACATTTATTATTGATGGGGGCAGATGGTAACTGAAGATACTGAATATACTGTTGGAACTAGAATTTGATGTTACCCTAACATGGGTGATGGAATTAACAATCCAGTTGAAAGACATTACAGAAGATACCATATGGATTACAAGCTTAAAGAAAAGAAAACCAAATGGAGGTCAATTAACGTTCAATCAACCACCTCTCCCTCCCCGTGGAGGTCCCTTTGGCTTTTGAGGATATTTGTCATGGAACTGCTTGATCAATCTGTCTGCTTTTATATCCCAGCTCTTTACCCACGTAGCTTGGGTAGAGAGTGGGTATCCCTTCCACTGTACTAAATATTGCAACCTCCCCTTGTACAGTCTAGAATCTTAAGATTCTCCTTACTTCATAATGTGTTTCCCCTTGCACTTCAATCAGTTTTGGGGATGTCCGGTCTACTGGAGCCTACCGCCAGCTTTAATAAACTGCTGTGAAGGATTGGATGCACTTTTCCTAGCAGGCGGGGGAGTTTTAGCTGCACTGTAATAGGGTTAATCACTTTCACTATTGGGAAAGGCCTTATGAACTTTGGTCCTAACTTCTTGCAGGGGAGTTTTAACCTCAAGTATTTTGTAGACAGGTAAACCTTGCTTCCTATTTGGAAAGGCTTTTGGGAGGCCCGATGTTTATCGGCTTGCACTTTATGGGTCTTTTCCACTTCTTGAAGGACTTGCTTCATGTTTTTCCAGGGTTTTTCCAGGGACTCCATCCATTCAGCTAAAGACATGGAGGAGGGTGGTTCTCTAGGGAGCTCAGGCATGGGGACGAATTCCATGCCTTTGGACTTTGGACGGGGTAAGACCAGTGCTGTTGTGCACCACATTATTGTATGCCATTTCAGCAAAAGATAGCAATTGTGCCCAATTGGTCTGTTGATAGTTCACATAGCATCTTAAATATTGTTCAATCATAGTGTTTGCATATTCCACAGCCCCGTTAGTGCTCAGATGAAATGCCGAACTAAGCCCCTGTGAGGACCCAATGGACTTTATAAACTCCCTCCAGAACTTAAGCCATGAACTAGACTCCCCTGTCAGAAAAGATTCTGCAAGGAACGCCATACATCCTATAGATGTGCTTTATGAATAGTTTAGTCAGTTTATGGGCTGAGGGGAGGCTTGAGCAGGCTATGAAGTGGGCTTGTTTTGAGAACAGGTCTATCACAATCCAAATGACCATATTTCCGCTGTCAGGGAGCTCTACTATAAAATTCATGACAATCTCTTCCCACGGCCAGGAGGGGTCCACCACCTGTTGGAGCAAGCCTGGGGATTTCCCTGGTCTTTTTTTCATAGCTGCACAGGCAGCACAGCTCTTGTCATAGTCCTCAATGTCTCGTTTCATTTTTGGCTACCAAAATTGTCTTCTTGTGAGGTGCAAGGTCTTTAAGTAGCCAAAGTGCCCTGCCTGCTTGGAATTGTGGCTCGTTTGGAGGTGCAAGTTGTCGGGGATGTACAGCTAAGAGCCTTTCCAGACTAGTCTGTCTCTGACGGTTAGCAGCTCTTTGTTGTTCCTGTACCAGGAACGGTTAGCTGGCAGTTTGATTTTAGTTTCTGGTAGTGGCTTGCATGGCTGGTTGGAGGCTGGTTGGGAGGGGGGAGAGCATGAACCATGCTTGTTTGCTGTTGTACTGTGTGCTGTTGTACTGTGGTTTTCGTGATAAGGCGTTGGCTAGAAGGTTTTTCCCCCCAGGGATGTAATTTAGGGTAATATTGAATCAGTTGAAGTATTGCGCCCATCGGACTTGCTTTGGGGAGAGTTTCCA